CCTCAACCCCCAAGCCCTAAACCCCAAACCCCAAGCCCTAAAACCCTAAACCCCCAAACCCCAAAACCCCAAGCCCTAAGCCCCCAAACCCCAAGCCCTAAACCCTAAACCCCCAAACCCAACACCCTACGCCCCAAATCCTAAATCCCAAACCCCCAAGCCCTAAACCCTAAACCCCCAGACCCCAAACCCTACGCCCCAAATCCTAAATCCCAAATCTAAACTCTAGACCCTCAAAAGCTTCAAATCATAAGCCGGCCTGGAGCAGCCCAAAGAGGAAGGTGGCAGATGCCATGCGCCCAAGCCAGCTGATGGTGTCATTCCTAGCACTAAGCCGCAAGAGGGTTTAGGGCTTAGGGCTTGGGACTTAGGATTTAGGGTTTTAGGTTTTGGGATTAGGGTTTGGGGTTTTAGGGTTTAGGTTTAGGGCTTAGAGTTTGTTTTTTAGGGTTTAGGGCTTAGGGCTTAGGGTGTAGGGGGCAATAAGATCCCTACCTACACCCCAAACCCCCAGCTTATTCTACTTGACAATCGCGGGGGACCATAAACCCCAAAGCCCAACAACCTAAACTCTACACTCTAAACCCTAAACCCTTAACCGTTAACCTAAACCCTTGGTTCAGGGCGAAGGAACCCCGCGTCCACCTGTGGTACTGCCCTTGCAAATTCCAAGCATACTTAGAGGCTCACGGGACTTAGTAACTAGGATAATGATGAGGACAACTAGGGTTACTATATGGAATATAGGGGCTATCAACCTACTTCCTACGTCCACCTGACCCTTCAGGTAAGGATCATAAATCCTAAGCCCTAAGCTCTAAGATAGCAGTAGCTCACAGTTCATCTGAGAGGGAAGCCTTATACTGTGCGTAATTACAGGCATAGGCGCGTGCGAGCGACGGCTTTTAGGTATGGTTAGGTAGCTGGCTGTTTCACTGTTGGTTCCGCGGCTCCTGTTGTTCTTTGTTGTTCTTTACCAAGGTTTACAATTTGGGATTTATGACATTACAATCTCCTATCCTAGTCTTGGGCCGTTGCACTGGACTATGCACCAGGCAGAACTGTGTTCCCGAGGAAGGTTAGTCCCGATGCAAAATACCAACGGAAGTACCTCAACGGACAAAAAACAACGCAACCGCAAAAGGGGCCCTACTAAGGCTACTTTCCTAGCAAGAAGAGCGTACGGCATGAGCCTAAACAATTTTGATCTGTTAGACAGTGCCTTGCAGGCAGAATTGTGCCCAAGGGGCACGATGTCGTTGATATGATGGTGAACCTGCGCAGCCCTAGCGATATAGATTGTGGGCCAAGGTTTAAGCTTACCGAAGCCGAACCCCACAAAGTAGCCAAAATAAGGCAAACATCACTAAACAACAAGCATGCCATTTTCTGCATATTTCCAAGGTCCAGGAAAGGCTTATTGAGACTCAGGTGGTCTCCCAACCACTATCACTGGGGCTATAAGGGTATATCATGTACAGGATATGTCTGGGGTCTAGGGCTGGAGATGCGGGGAATTGTGTTTAGGGCTTACTCTAAGGGATTTGGAACCCCAGTAGAAATTAGAATTTCGGCTAAATATTAGGATTGTTGGTAACAGAAATTGACAATTATTTTCAGGAACCTTGTAGTTTAGAGGAGGATCTCTTAGAGAAAAGGCTTTGGGCATGTAGTCTCCTTGGGCGAGCCGGCTTCAAGGTATGCTCATTTAGGGTTTAGGGTTTAGGGTCATTCGCGGCTAAAGATGTCCTTCCCTAGACCGGTTGGCCTTCAAGTGCAAGTTTTCCCATACCGCAGCATGTTGAGTACGGGTACAGTATGTGCGTAACCCTATAGGTGAGATTGTGTTTTCTTAGACGAGTAATTAGGTATGATTGTTTGGGGCACTTGACATGGGTGCACCCTCAGGGGCCCTCATAGAAACTTTGGGGACTATGTCCTCGCAACCCACCAAACCAAGCGAAGTGCCCATGTTGGTGCCCAGGGTCAAAATTATGATTGCAAGGACTTACTGGTGTTTACGGGGAAGCGAGGGAGCGAGCATGCCGACTATAACAGGATTTATTACTGGTATAGAGCTATAAAAACTCCCTCACCTAAACTCTCAGCCTGAATCCCTCAACACTAAACAGTACTTACCTTCAATTTTCTTTTCTGCTAGATGAACTCTTCTAAGGCTCAATAAGACAACAGGGGCTTCGGGGAAGATCTGCTTGCCTTGACCTGCGTCGTCGGGATAGGAATTACGATCTTGAGGAAATTCCTGAGCACAGAACGCATTTGGGGTTCAGGGTCTAAGGTTAAAGGCTTAGAGTTCCCGATGTCAGGTGTTAAGGGTTAAGGTTTAGCGTTTAGGGTTTAGGGTCCATAAGTATATGTTGATGACTAGGTTTGCCTTTTGAGCTTTCCCTAGAAAGCCAGTAGCCCATGACTACAGCCTATTTACCAACAAATTTCCGTCGTTGAGTCAAAATAGTCCATTGTTTTGGGTGATGAGCAACAGTCAATATCTCCAGCATAATGCAATGGACAGGGGGTCCTTGTTAGCGACTTTCTTAGGTTATGATGCTAAACTACGAGCGGGACCCCGATGTCCACGATGAAGGTTTCCTTCAGAAGCCTAGTATTGACAGTAGCTCGCATAACTCTTCAATGCTTGAAAACTATCTCCAACAATGACCCAGTGCAGGGCGTGGGGTCAAGCCTGATAGTCAGAGGATTTGAGGATCCAGGCTTGTGGACGCTTGGATTTGGGGTTCTAAGGCTTACGGTATAGGGTTTACATGTTGGAGTCCACAACGGGTCAGAGCTTACCTGATGAAAGCTAAGCTGGGAAGCCTAGGCTCTGAACACTACAGTAGACCCTAACCCTAAACCCTAAACCCTAAACCTAAAGTGCCAAAAGTGCTGAATACTAAACCTTTTACCCGCTGAACCCTTCAGCCCAAACCCTGTACTTTCAACCGTCTAGCCGAACCCTAACCTCAGACCCTGAACCATATTTCTGAACCCTAAACCCAACCCCGGATACCAATTTGCCTTAGACCCGCCACTAACACGACTAAGAAGCCCTAAACCCCAAACCCTAAACCCTGAGACCCTCTACTAAGAGAACAGAGGAGCCCTATCGCTGGCAGCTGCTGCACCTTTGGGACGTCCTCCCAGCCCGAAGAGTACAGTATTAGCCAAATATGTACAATTAACGGGTATATCTAAATCCCAAAGATATGTAGAACCTTTTTATGGTCTTTGGGGCCGTTGTCTTACCCACTATTGGGGTCCAGGTATTAGCGCTACTGTCGACAGTACCACTGCTGTTGTTATCTGTTCTGATGATTCCTGATCTCTATTAAGAGGAGTGCCTGCTGAATTAGGGTACCATGTGCTGAACAACTCCTGTCCCAACACTGAGTTTAGGGTCTGGCGTTCAGGGTGAAGCCCTTCACTTGGAGTGTTTTTGGGTTTTCTCGCACGGACACCCTCAGCGACACGCACCTTCATTCCTGAAGAAGCCCTAGGCGCCCTCGCCTTACTCCGGACTCTCCGCCCCAAAACCCTACAACGCTTAGGATTCTCATATTCCAAGATTGCAAGCCCCCCCCCTCCTGCCATCAAACGGATCTGAAAGCTCCTCAGCCCAAGGTCCTAACCCTAAACCCTAAGGCATCTTCCATGAGAGTCCTGTTGCGCCGCCTGTGGCACGATGGTGGTATCCTCAACTCACATCAGCACCGTAAGTGTACATGGACTCCTTGGACAGTTTTCCTACCTACTAAGTTACTACTAACTTCAAGTATAATACTAGAACTTGAACAGTCTACTTTGTGGGCTGCAGGCAAAACTCAGAGTTTAACTTTACGGCTGCGTCTTATAGATCATCATACGGGAGCTTTTTGAGACATTTACAACTTCAAGGAAGACATCCTCTGTTCTCCCTATGAATTGGGATGCTCTTCTGCAGTGCCATTTCCCGTACATGAAGCGAGGATTTCTGAGTATAGGGCAAATGCTGTTGGCAACCCTAGACTCCTAGACTCTCCAACTGTTCGATACCATGGCCTACATACCCTTCATAGGTCTGAAAACCCCTTATTAAAATAGGGATAATGGAAAAGAACATGGAAACTACCCATACCATAATAGGGTTCATATGGGGTTATATAGGGAAAATGGAAAACAGAATGGAAACGGCTATAACGGGTTATATAGGGTTTAGGGTTCAGGGTTTGTACTTTGAATGTCTAGGACTACAGACTGACCTTCTAGCTTTGGCTACCTGCAAGTTTCCGACCCTTTTAGGGTTTGAAACCCTAAACACTAAACCCTATGATTAGGGTAAATCCTTACTAAGGCCTAGAGTATTTGGGTGTGGAAGGTGGACTGCTTCTTCTGGAGTTTGTAGGGGGATCAGGGTTTAGAGCTTAGGGTCTAAGGTTCCTACAGGTTGGGGGCTAGAGTCCCCCTTAAGTAGATAGAGCATGGCTTTGGTGTATATTGCAATAAGATCCCCATATACCCCACATTCTAGCTGCTTAAGGGGGATTATAGAGTCTGGGGTTGCTACAGGTTTGTGGCTAGAAACAAATCGTAAAACGAGTGGGTTTTCGTGCTACGCTCACAGACCTTTGGAAAGGGATAAGCAAGTGCCGTGCAAATGGTCCTATACCCCAAAAGGGCCATAAGGTAGTTGAGGTTTAGGATTTCCCTTTGAGGAAGTGTCTTCCTATTGGTTCCTTTTTTTTACGAGACCTTCAGAATGCAATGAGATTCTCAATGCCCTTTGGGATGCTTTAACCCTCAACCCTGAATCCTAAACTTCAGGCCCTAAACCCTAAACCCCAGGAACTAAATATCTAGCAGTAACACGCCTTCTGAGCAGACGCTGGAGATTGAAGGCTTGAATTTAGGTGGGCGTAGGGTTTAGGATTCCGGGTTCAAGGTTTTGGAGGGGTCCAAATAATTCAGGCAGTGAAAAATCAAATGGACAAATAAAAAATAACACTGGGTATAGGGAATGTAGTGGAGGGAACCTGAATGATTACCAATCCCGTTTTTAAGTCTGCTTGACGTAACCTTCCGAAACATGAGACTGCTGTATAGTAGTTTACCCCTCTGACGGCTTTACTTGGCCTCAAGCGGCTGATTTGCGCCGTTGTGGTAGACTTTTGTCTGAGAGGGTAAGTAAGAAAGTAAGCAAGCGTGGAATACACCCTAAACCCTACACCCTAAACCCTAAACCCTACACCCTAAACGCTGAACGGCCCTGAAACCGTGTGTAGACGTACAAGGCTCCGAGTTTCTTTACCTGGCCTCACTCGATCTCTAAACTGTACAGCCCTACGTGGGTTAACAAAATTAGGTCGGGGTTAGGGTTTAGGGTTTAGGGTTTATCTGTAAGAAAATGTATAGGGATTTAGGGTGGACGTCCAGGAATATTCTCTAACTTTAGTCCAGGGCTCACATCCCCAAAGCCCAAGCAAATTGAAACCCCAAGCCCTGAACCTTTTAACACCATGGACACCTACAAGTGCCGATGGGTGGCGTCCAAAAAGAAGGTGTCCTGCTGGCAGCGGAACTGGCAAGAAAGGGATGCTGGTTAAAAAGTGAGAAATCAAAGGTTTAGGGTTATATCTTGGGGGAGGGGGGGGGGGTTAGGGTTTTAACAATGTTTTTTTACAGGACCTTTTCTCCACCGTCCAGTTTAAAAAAGGTTTACTGTTTGGGGTTTAGGGTTTGGATCTCTTCAGCATCAAGGAGGATAAATAGAGTGGCCTCTTGTAAGGCTTGTCAGGGATGACGACTCATCCTCTCCCTCCAACCCCTACCTGGGGGGTGGGGAGGGGAATATTTATTAACGTGAAGGGGTTAGAGACTCCCATAAGCGACTCGTTAAGCCAAACATCCATAGAAGTCTACACTGGAACAGCTATAGGTTAGGCGCAACCCCCCCCCACCCTGTAATAGTCACTACAATTATAAAGTCGTTGTTTTCGGGCCCTCTTAGAGTCCCAGTCTACCACTGTTACAAGGGGGGGGGGAGTGTCCACGTAAGTTATCGGGTACCTTCTTAATTTTCAGGATGGTATCGACAACTTTTTAGGGTTTAGAATGTGAGGTTCTGACCCTGAGGGTCCAGTATACAATATACATCAATATACGTATACTTCGGGATCCCCGCAACCGCAATCGTTACTTCTGGCTACCTATATTTATATACGTAAATTATACATAGTTCATGGACATGGGTTGCTTGTAGAGAATAGATTAAGGACTATACTCGTCTACCAAAGGGGCCCCTACGTCCACCCCTAATGGTCCCTAGTAACCCCACTGCTGACAGCAACTCATATGATAGCTGTATACTTTGGACTCTTAGGGCCACTATACTCTAAACCCTGAATCCTTAACCTACAGCCCCAAACCCTGAAACCCTAAGCTCTAAATTCTAGACCCTGAACCTATTTGGTAGTTTCCCAAAATAAGGGGACCCCAATATAGACCCCAATATACTATAATCCTTATTATGGGGACCTCTAAAATGGTACCCCCAATTTTAACAAACTCCCATTTATAAGCCCTAAACCCTAAACCCTAAACCCTAAACCCCTAAACCCTAAACCCTAAACCCTCCCAGTCCTCCCAGGGGGCTCCGAGTCGACCCCCCAGGGAGTCGGTGTATTTCCTTTGTAGGTTTTGGGAATCTTTGGGATTAGGGCTTAGGGTTTAGGATTTGGGGTTTAGGGATTGGGGTTTAGGGTTTAGGGTTTAGGGTAGAGTGTAGGATTTAGGGTTTAGAGTCACCCGGGCTTGGGGTAGCAGAACCCCCAAGAATAGGTAGAATAATGGCCTTTTGGGGCTGTTGGGGGTTTGGGCTGCAACTGTACCTACTTTTGAGGTCTAGGTTGTCGTGTTTCCTTTGACAGAATAGGGGTTTGGGGTAGAAAAGGGGTATCTGTGTGAGGTTGAAGGGTACCTTCCTTCGAAGGAAACGAATTTTCGGGCCGAAAGGCTCGGCCCGGTAAGGCTGACGGATTATAGTCCCCCTAAAGTAGATAGAATATGCGGTATATGGGGATCTTGTTATAAAAACCCAAAGCCACATTCTATCTACTTAAGGGGGACTATAAGGGCTTTACTTACCTCCGGTTGGTTTAGGGTTCAGTGTCTAGGTGGGCTGGGGCCGTCACCGCAAATCTCTGGAGTTGGTTGCTTACATTTCGTAGTACATCTTAAACTGAAGCATCAAGCGTTTGGAAACCCAGAAGTGTCCAAAAGGCGCCAGTCTCTCCACCAGTGCTGTCTCCAGCCTGAACTCTTAGCCCCTCTAAACTCCAAAGGAAGGGGCTCCTTTTGCTGTGATGGGAGGAAATACATACTCTAAACAATACAATAAAGCAAGCCTAAACCGCAAAATTTCAAACCTACATAATCCCGGTTTCTGTGTCATGTAACGATTTTCCTTTCCATTGCTTAGAGTAGCCCCGCGAACCGCGAACCCAAAACGCTCAGCCCTAAACCCAAAACCCATACTCCAAAAAAAATGAAGGATCCCCGAGGTCAAAAAAGTCAACGCCCAAACCTGTTGAATCCGAGATTCTCGAGTGAAGGGGTCGTGCGTACCTGAAATCCCCAGTGACGCATCTATCGGGTTGAGGAACATACCCCATATGACACTAGCAGCCCAAATCTGGTTAGAAATGTATTCCTTCAAGTAGTATGGGGCCCCCTTGAACCATTGTGTCTGCAGCTTTGGGGTTGTGCGTTGGGGATCCAATGGCCGACTGGAACAATGTGTTGCCAGCTGCCTTTAAGCTTTGCCGGTACTGACGACTGCAGCGGCCTAAATGACTCGAATAAGGTCTGGCAGTATCTTTAACTACAAGCAAGTATAAGGGCATAACACTTTTTCCTGGCCTGCAATTTCTGTCAGAGTTCTCTGATGCACTCTGCCGGTGCTACTAGTTTAGTTGTTGTCAGGAGCACGGGTATGCGGAATCTCAGCGCGAAGTACAACTGCTGGCACCGTACTACAAACCCTGCATGACCCAAAGCACCTTATAGCCTATTCTTGGGAACTATGGTATTCTGGTATACCACCTTTTTTCGGCCTGCCTATCACCCGTAGTTCTTCTTTGCGGACCAGGTCGCAATGGAAGTACGGTTCTGCGCCAGATACGGCAGCCAGACTTTCACGATGCTCTCCTCCCTGCAAGGCGAGGGAAGGCACACAGAACCAGACTAGCTTACTTACAGGTCAACATGTTCTATTTCAAGCTTCTCAACAATAAAGGCCCCCCTACAAGAGCAAGCAATGAACAAAGTCGAATTCTGGATAATAACTAGCCGGCCTCTTCTCCGGCGTTTTTCTAAAACTATGAAGAGGGACCCTCTCGCGCAAGCCCCGTAAGGCCTAATTCAAGAAGCAATGCCTCTACAACAGTTCCAGATAAACTTTAGTCAGCAGATGCTGCAGGTTTGAGACTTAGCTTTCTGATCCTCATTTGCAGAGCAGGCAAGTAAGTTAGCCTCCCTAAACTTAAAGCCAAGTCAAGTGAGTTCCTGAATCAGCTTAAAAAAGTAAATGCTACTAAAACCAGTTGAAAAGGCTACTAAAACCAGTTGAAAACATTTGAAATTCATCCGTATTGTGGAAAGAGGGCTTCTTGAATCTGGAGGGTTTTCGGCCCAACAATGCCTCCGGCATAAAACTACTTCCTCCTTGAAACCTTAGACCTAGGCCGCGGGCCCTCCTACGAAGTAGAACTCAGCGGGGTCACCTTGTGAACCCTACACACCGCTCAAAACTTGTATGAAACCTTTTAAAAGCACCCTTGAATACTGAGGTTCCTACCTTACTTTCCAGACACTCTCGGTCTGGGAAACAGATCCAAACCCTAAACCCTCAACCCTAAACCCTGTATTCCCCCTTAAGTAGATGGAATATGGCTTTGGGCGTATTATAATAAGATCCCCATATACCCCATATTCGATCTACTTAAGGGGGACTATTAACCCTCAATCTTAAGCCCTATACCTAAACCCTAAACCCTAAACCCTAAACCTTAAACCCTAAACCCTAAACCCTAAACCCTAAATCCTAAACCCTAAACCCTAAACCCTAAACCCGTGCAACTCGGGCCTCAAAGCCACAGGATGCGTTGCATTCTCTGCCAGCGACGGTCGGACGAACAGACCTTCAGGCGCTTTTGGGTTCAGGGGGGTTTAGGATTTATATGGTTCATGGGACTTAGGGTCTATGGGATCTAGGGTTTATGGGGTTTAGGGTTTATGGAGTTTGGGGTTTATGGGGTTTGGGGTTTATGGGGTTTAGAGGTTTGCCAAGCTTTTCCCTGAGACCTGCTAGGGAAACGGGGAAGAACACACGGTTTGGGGTGTAAGGTTTAGGATTTGAGGCTCATAGGGGCCAGGGTTTAAACAGGGATTAGGCGCGTTTCAGATGTGAGCCCCAGTTCGCCTGGAATAGGCCTGACCTCAGGGTTTGCGGTTGAGGGTCGAAGGTTTAGGAATTAGGTCTTGTTGTTCGGTATTGCCCCCGCCCAGGAACATTCTATAATAGGCCACATATGTAATACGTGATTATTATTATTATCCAACTGTTCAGGGTGAAGCTCTTGCACCCCCTTCCATCTACTGGCGCTTGGGGGAAGTTGGGGAAGTGGATCCATAGAACCATCCCTATACAGATCCCATAGTATAGTGGTAATCGTATTGCCTGTCAACCTCTCCCTGAGAACCAGTACCTCAGCAGAATCACTTGATCCCGACTCCCTATCCACTGACGATCTGGGGCTTACCTTCCCCCGAACTAACATGAACCCCGGAAGAGGCCATACAAAGACTCCTGCCCTGTCAAGAGCCCTAAACCCTAGACGCCTAAACCCTGAAGCCTATACCCTCGAGTTTGTGGGAGTGTAGGATTTGTTGGCTGGCTCGCTTGTGGTTTGGGGTTGGGTCACAGCCTTCGCAACATGACCTTAGTCAGCCAGTATCTGGATCTTGAAGGTTACCCTTCTGGTTCAAAATGGAGTTTCTGGTACGCAAAGAGGTTTACACTCCCCCAAACTAACATGGAAACCCATATGGTCCCCTTTTAGAAGGAGTGTAGTCTTTATTGGGCCCTTTTTGGGTTTCCATGTTAGTTTCCGGGAGGGTAACCCAGAACTCAATCCTGAAGCCGTGAAACCAGAAACCCACAGCCTCCACCCCTGAGCCCTGGACACTAAACCCTAAACCCTAAATGAGGGTTTCCCAAAATTAGGGGTACCTTTTTTAAGGGTCCCAATATTAAGGATTATAGTATTTTAGGGTCTATATTGGGGTCCCCTTATTTTGGGAAAGTACCAAATCGTAGTTTCCATGTTCTTTTCCATTATCCCTTTATAACCCCATTAACCCTAGTATTACCCCAATATAATCCTAACATTAGCCTTGAAACCCTAAACCTTGAACCCTCAACCCCGAACCCGAATCTTCAGCCAGGATGCCGCTGACATAGCTGTAGTTGCTACGCTGGAGGTCGCCTGGACAACCTGATAGGGCTTGTCAGTTCCGGTTTAGGGTTTAGGGCTTTGGGTTTGGGGTTTGGGGGTTTAGGGCTTAGGATTAGAGCTTAGGGTTTAGGGCTTAGAGTTTAGGGCTTATAGGTTTTAGGGTTTAGGGTGTGTAGGGGCCTCATTAATTAAAACTGGGATTTAGGGAAACTACACCATGGCTCTGTGCGGATGTTAAGGAATAAGATTGGTAAGTATCTGGCCCTACAGCGCACTACATAACTACGTGGCACTTAGGACCCCTACTAAGGGTTAAACCTTAGGTTCCTTTAATACGTGTATAAGGAAATCCCAAAGGGTCAAGGGTCTAAGGTCCAAGCCACGTACCAAAGAGATTTGTCTCTCTTGGTTTCCCATCCTGCACCTTGCACATCCCGAGCATGCGCACAAAACTTTAATAACCCTAAATCCAGAACCACTAAACATCTACATAACCTTAAACCCTGAAACCCTATACATCTCCATGACCCGAACAGCTGACAAGTAAACCTCCACTTATAACCCGTATTAGGGCAAGCCAGCTCTTATTCTCTATTATGTAGGCTGCTACACCACGCTTTGGGGCTCAATGCTGGGGCCTGAGACCCAAGTGGGTTCAAGGATTGGGGTTTGGAGGTTGGGAGCGCTCAGGGCTTGGCATCTAGGTTTTAGGATGTGGGGTTTGGAGATTGGGGTTCAGGGATTGGGGTTTAGGGTGTATCGTGGTGGGAATAAGTGTACGGTTGTCTTTGTAGGGGCCTTCTGGGCGCTGGCAGGTGCTTGAGGAAGTGTAGCATGTCTCGTATATGCGCCCCTGCAGTGCAAAGCTTACTCTACATGTGCTTCTTCCTTCACATAGAAGCATCTCACACCGAACCTTGCATGTAAGGAATGGCGGGATCAAAGGTACAGGGCTTATTCACAGGAACAGCTTTTGCTTTCCCACAGGATTGGTACCGGTGCCTCGTGCCCTACAGGTACCTGGAGACGACAGGGAAAGCATTCTAGGCTACTATTAAACCGGCTTATGCTGGACTATGCAGGCAGCATTTTCAGGAACTCCCATGTAATGAGGGACCATCTAAAAAGCATGGTAGTTAAAACAAAGAGGCCAAAGGTAAGGATACCCTCACCAAAAGTCAATGGTTGAGAGTTGAGGGTCCCTAAAGCCTCAACCCTAAACCCCAAACCCTGAACCCGAAACAGTAGGCCTCTCTTAAGCGCCATGAACCATCGATGGTACGGCAAGATGGCAGCCTGTCACCAGCTCGTGCTAACAGTTCGAGGTTGGATATACCCTCCCCCGCCCCACCCTGCAACAGTAATATTATTTAGGGGTTCAGGGCTGGGGTTTTGAGGCTTAGGTTAGAGCATGGGCCATTCTTCAGAGTATAGTAGCAGAGTACATACAATTCAGTCATATCTAGGGCCCTTCTGTGAGGCCAACTTCGAGTACCCGATCCCTTACAGTAAGGGGACTGTAGAGTTTTGGGCTTTGGGTTAACCATTCGTAGGAACAGAAGCCCCCACCCTGTAACAGTGGTATAATACGAATGTAATTTAATAGGACCCTACTATAATCCCCCCTATCCTCAATAGCCACTATTACAGGGTGGGGGGGGGTCCAACAACCCTATACCATAACCCCGGAAGCTAAACCCTAAACTCTAAACCCGAAGCCATAAAGCCTAAACCCTAACCCCCTACCAAATTGAAGTACCCTATACCATAATTGCATAAAAGAGACCTGGTACCAGATATATCAGTAGTTCTTTAGGCTTCTGCAGCCCCATCCCGGCCCCTACAAAATACATTACCCTCTTCCCTACTAGCCACCAATAAGTATAGGTAAGGTAGTATCAATATCAAACATAAGCCATCTGCAGTGATGGCTATAAGGCTCTCATCCTTAACTCTCCCTCCAGCACCACGAAGTTAAGGTTTAGCATCTAGGTTCCCCAGTAACCCATTAATAATAAGGGTACCCTTTTCCTGCTGTTCAGTTATAAAAAGGAGCCTCCAAAATAAAAGGGCAAAAGGGTACTACTGGGGTACCTAGGCATCATCAGGATTGAAACTTGCTGCCGCTACTGTGATTTCATGTGACGCCTGCATAAGATCTCTGAGTTTGAAGCCGGACACCCTGAGTTCTGTCTTGTTAAACTGTGTTTAGGTTTAGGGGCCTAGCCGTCTGTAGGGAAACACATACCTCCTGTCCATTGGCTTAGACTATCACGCTGTTTGTAGCAGCCTAGCACTTGGCTTTCTCAAAAGAGGGGTCCACCAGGAATGACTTAAACAACTGAATCCGCATTGAACGCCTCAACCCCAGTACCAAGAAGCAATGACTGTTCCAAGTGTCAGACGCCCTGAATTTCAAACCCTCTTCTCTAAAACGCCAAACCCTCACGCCCTAAACCCTTGACTCTACATAATCCTATAAATCCTTATATTTCCCCCTTTATAGGGTCCGCCTAATTCTGGAAACTGCTCCAGGCTGCGCAGCCCAAACCCCGGGCCCCTGAAGCAACCAAATCTTAGCCCACACGACATACAGGATTCCCTAAAAACTTGCAATGACTGAATCCAACGACCTTGTGCCAGAAAGCCACATCCTTGTTAGTGGGTTCAAGGAAATGCTACCAGTAGTTTAGGGCCTAGGGCTGATAAGGTTTAGGGTTTAGGGTTTAGGAAATCCATTATGCTTCAGATCCCATTACAAGCTTTGGGGTTTAGGGCATCCGGATTTAAAAAAAAATCCCAAGCGCTCCAGAATCCAAAAAAACTAATGTCGATGCCTAGCAGAGGCTGTAGCTGCCTTGGAGTTCTCTTAAAAAATCAACTTTGGCTGTTCATTGGGGTTTCGGAATCACCTCAGAATACCAAGATTCTCAACACACCCGTTTGGAGATGCATTCTAGTAGCTGTAGGGCTATTAGGCGCTTTACGGAGTTTAGGGCTTAGGGTTTACAAAGATTGCAAGGGAAGAATCTTGACAGTTATGTAGGTTTTCACGCTTATCATTTCGACTGCGTTATTTGCAACCTGAAGCTCAAGCCCTTAATATAAACTCTGGATCTCGAACCCTGAACACTACAAACCCTAAACCCGTAAGCAAACCTAAACCTCAAACACTGAACTCGTCACCCTTCTCTCTGTCAAGCGCCCACCTGAGGAACCTGCTGCACTGCAAAGACCCGTCGGCAGCTAAACCTGGGTGGGTCAGAAGGGTTTGGGGTTCAAGCCGATGGTTTTCAGTGACTAGGCTTTCCAGGGGGTTGGAAGTTTAGCTGTCATCAACCTACCCTTTGGGGGGGTAAGGTTTGGGACCTAGGGTTCTGGGTTTGGAATTTTGTATCTAGTGGTCAAAGTGTTCAATGTTCAGGGTCATTCCCGTCACGCATAGCCGACCTCAGACTGGCACTGGGCTGCAGTTAACGTGCTTAAACTAAGTGACCAGAACATGGAGATGTAGCAAGCAACATGGCCTCCTCCTTGTAGTGACTTACTTTAAGGTCTGTAACCAGTGCCATAATCTGAACGCATATTTGTATCATACATGTGGCCTCCAATGTCTCTACAAGGGAGATACATGAAATTTTCCCTGATTTTTAGAGGGTCTGCTAGTATTTCGCAAATACATTGCTACCAGAGCTTAAATAAAGAAACCTATTGGGGCGGCAAGGCCTAAAAACTGATACCTACCTAGACCTTCCAATGTAGTACCTTTTTGGTAGTCCTGATAAGAATCCTAACCGTAAAACCATACCAAACCCAAAAAAGAACTACTGTACATTGGAGGGTCCAGGTAAAGCCTAATCCTCACCGCCAGCGCATTCTGCCCCCCCTTCCACCCTCCCCAGGATTCTCGAAATCGCTAAGCTCTGACTCCCAAATAACCCCAAAACCGTTCCATCATCCAATTGAAGTAGCCTAAACCTTGAAACCCTAAACCCTAAACCCTAAGCTAAGAACCCTAAACACTAAACCCTAAACCCTAAACCGCGACACAGCTTAGGAGCGTATTTCGCAGCAAAAAGCTTGGCGAAGTCTGCAGGTCTGCTGGCTCATTGATGTAGACCTTCCCATTAACGGCTTGGGATCTAGATGAAAGGATTAGGGCTTTGGGTTTAGGATTTAGGGTTGAGGTTGAAGGATCTATATTGGGATAAAGGAAAATAAAATGGAAACTACTATTTAGGGTTTAGGGTTTAGGGTTGGAGGGGGCCCTTGGGGATTAACGGCTTCGGATCTAGATTAAAGGATTTGGGCTTTGGGTTTAGGATTTAGGGTTGAGGTTGACGCTTAGGATTTAGAATTAAAGGATTAGGGCGTTGGGTTTAGGATTTAGGGTTGAGGTTGACGCTTAGGAGTAAGAATTAAAGGAATAGGGCTTTGGGTTTAGGATTTAGGGTTTAGGTTAACGGCTTAGGTTTTAGAATTAAAGGATTAAGGCTTTAGGTTTAGGATTTAGGGTTTAGGTTAACCGCTTAGGATTCTTTAATCAAAGCATCAAGGCTTTGGGTTTATGATTTAGGGTTTAGGTTAACGGCTTAGGATTTGGAATTAAAGGATTAGGGCTTTAGGTTTAGGATTTAGGGTTTAGGTTAACGGCTCAGGATTTAGAATTACAGGATTTGGGCTCTGGGTTTAGGATTCAGGGTTTAGGATTGAGGGTTCAGAGTTTGGGGATGAGGGGTAAAGGTTTTTGTGATTTGAGGGTTCCATGAATCACGGGTCCCTATTCGCGCGTACCTATAAAAAGGACGATTGTATCGCGGTCTATTTCGGGGTCCGCCTATTTATGGAAACCGGCGATGTGGCTTTTCTGGGTTGCTGCGAAGGAAGTTAAGCTACTATAATCAATGATCCAATTATTTGCCAGACACCCACAAGATGGTCACGGAACACAAGTTCCTCAACAGCAACCCAGCGGTTAACGGGATGTGGAGTTTCAAGATTCCATACGTGGGGGCTGATCGCGGGAGACCTTGGCCACCTTTTCTGGGGTGTCTTCCTGTAGGGTCTAGATTTAGGGTTTAGGATATATGGTTCAGGGTTTCGGATGTAGGGGTTTAGGGATTAGAGTTTTAGGACTTAGGGTTTTTGGATTTAGGGTTTAGACTGGCCTAAGGGTCTGCGCCACTTACGGGAAGGGGTTAGCGGCCACCGGATGCGGCATGTATGCTGGGTCGTGGTAGCTGCTGGTAGACAAGAAAGACGTGCAGCAAACATCATTACTTCAGAGCCCGGATAGTTGGACAGTTGAAGGGATAGCACCTTGCTTCCCGAAATCGAATACCATTAGACTAAGGTTAGTCGCTGAAGGTTCAGGGCTTGAGCGGAAAGTCTGAGACTGAGCGGTTGACATGGGCCAAACCTTACCAAATCCCACAACTACTCTGAAGCACTTAGGGTCATGCTGTATTTGTTGTATCCACCATATGGGCACGGGTACGCTGCAACTCTGCCACCTGGCGCAGGGCCGAACACTTGCACCACAAATCTGTTCCACAAATCCTGAACAAGATGCTATAGATACATAATGGGTATATTATAGGTATATTTGGTGTATATTATGGTAGATTATGGGTATATTGCAGGTAGGGCCCATGGCCCCAACACCAAAGCCCTGAAGGGCAAACACTCCGGTCCCCACCGCCCCCCTTTCCCTCTAACCCATTCTTAACGCAAATCCTACCTACTGCTTGCCCCGCAAGAACCCTCTGCTTTGACTCATGAATTAAATTTGTAGCACGAAGCCCCAAGCCTCAGTGCCATCGACCAGCGAAAACTCAACTTCCCGCTTCAGCACGAGATGGTCCAGAAGCGAATAGTTCCTGGGTTTACCTAGACCTCCCAAATACAAAAAGTACAAGCTTCCCCAAAACCTTAATCCCCAAACAATGGGGATACAGGCTGCTGATTTAGGTATTTGGAGGGGCCCCTCTCTGCCCCCAGTACCCTAAAATGAGCAAGGATCCTTCGCAGTTTTACAAGGAAGCAATAGGGTTTAGACCACCAAAAGTCGGTGAGTTTGCCTCAAATTCCCTGCTGCTTGTAAGGAATGGGGTGTAAGGACGGCTCTTAAGAGGTTTATGCAGGGAATACTCTAGGGATCCACTCCCTCTGTACCTACTGAGCAGCTAATAAAAAAGGTGTTTTCTATGTGAAGTCCACCAATCCTAAACCTTAAACCTGAAGCCCTAATTCGAGTTAAAAAAAAATATGATTCGGAGCGAAAGCCTTACTTACCATGAGTCACCCTGCTTTGGGGAGCAAGTCCAAAAACAGCATCTACTTCCGGTTCTTGGCAGATTTAGGGACAAGTCCGAACTATATATATATATGTACATATGTATATAAAACATGTACATACATATATGTACATATATTTATATAGATATACACACGCACATAACCCTGTGACCACTCTAGAGGGACCCTTATATCTGTGTAGAACCCGGTAACCCCTTTAGACGGACCCTAAATATCCGTATAGAACGCTGCAACCACCTCAGAACAACCCCACATATCCCTCTTCAACCCCTACCTCAGTAACTGTCTATGATAAGGGCAATATTCAGGCTATATATGATCATGTTACAATAACTATCCAACTGTTACTGAGTGGGGGCAGTGCCCAAACCCGACCAATGTCATATCCATTTAAACCCCGAAGTCTAGACCCTAAATTCTGAACCCCAAACTTTAAATCCTAAACTCTAAAGTCTAAACCCTAAATCCAAAAGCCTAAACCCCAACTCCTACATCCTAAACCCTAGATTGTAAACCCTAAGCCCTAAACCCTATGTCAGGGACAACTGGGTTGCTGTTAAGGAGCTTAACTTAAGTTACTATATTGGGGGAACCCTATTATTTACTATATATACCCATTTTATGGTAACCCTAAACCCTATACCCATTAAAGTAACTTAATTTAAGGTTCCTTAACAGCAACCCAGACAAGTGTCAACTTGGCCTTCAAAGCATTTAGCTCGCAGATATCCAGCGCCATGATCGGCGTCCTTTGATTTGGGGTTGGTCGTTCAAACTGGGAAGACTCTAAAGCTCTAAACCCCTAAATCCCAAAGCCTAAATCCTAAACTCTATAGGGTTTCGGGTTAAGGGTTTACGGGCTTGGGGTTCAAGGCTTTAGGCCTTAGGTTTTACGGTTAAGGGCTGCTGCTCAGGAACTAACATTAAGTCCCTACGGAAAGGTTATACATGGAAGTTACTGTATGTATGCGTTACGATTGGCATCTTTTCGGTCAGGAATGGGGTTTGACGGTTTACGAGACTTTGTTGAGTTCATGGTAAATTAAGCATTTGTGGATTTGAAAGTTTAGGGGTTAGGCTGTGTACAAGGTCTAGGGTTTGCTGAGTCTGGGCTTTGGATGTATTGAGGCTATGTTTTACGATTTATTTGCTTGAAGTTTTATTGAATTTAGGGCTCGAGGCTTGTTCGCTGTTCTTGGTATTTCGGTTAAGAGTCGTTGCAGGGGTTTCTGCATTCAGGGACACCAGTAAAGTTCTTGATTCAATTGCTTGCCTGGTGCCACCACCCAAGTTAATGGTCGTCTGAAACGGATCTCTGAGAGGGAGCCGTTCCACATTCTGCAGGCTTCCATGGAAACGATGGCTCTTGTGAACCCGAAAATGTAAAATGCCCGCACACACAGTCTGGGGGCTACAAACGGCGCCAAGGCGTTCTGCCTACAACCCCATGTCTTCTAGGAAATCTGCATTTGTGTCTAATAGATATACTAACTTAAGTGACCCTGAAGAAGGGTAGGGCCTAGGGGTCTGGATAAACCCCGAACTGGGCCCGAACGCTAACCTCTGGCTCTATAGCGCCTCGAATACGCACGAAACCTTGAACCAGATATAAATAAAGCCTGGAACTCATGTGGGTAATTCCCATAATTACGGGCCCCTTCTGGTTATAGATCACTTATATTACGGCACCTAAAATTCAGGGACCCTGTTTTTGGGAACTACCATGAACTACCCATGTAGCAACTATGAGCCACAAGTCCAACAAGGGGCTTTGGATCTTCTGGCAGGACCAGGGTTTAGGGCCTAGGGATCTTCACAAAGTGCGAGAACGTGTCTGAATACGCTCATTGTAGCTGCTTTCCCGGTCTGGATCCTTCGTTCAGGGGTTTCGGGTGTTGGCTTGCCCGCACAAGGGTAATGTATACACGTAAAAGATTGGGTTTACCGGGTTGCTGTTAAGGAACTTAACTTAAACTAAGTTACCAAAATATGGGTGCTACGCGAACAGGGTATCCATATTCCTCTTGGAATGCTGAAAATGGAAAGCCCCCACCCCCTCTAATACTAAATATTCCCAATATCTGATGTTATACCAGAATGAAAATTGGGTGGGGGTGTTCTTATGTTAGTCAGGGGAGGCTCTCTCAACACAACAACCGTGGAGCTTAAGCCTGAAGACATCAGGAGCGAATGGGTACTGAGCAGGGCGCTATATGCATACAGAGAGAGAGAGAGGGAGAGAGAGAGAGAGATGTATGGGTATAAGCTTTTATAGGAGCATCTATAGACAGATAGATAGATGGAGGGTCTGTATGCACATATAGATAAATATAGATTTATGTATAGGGATTGTAGGGGAAACAAATCCAGGATCTACTATCTAATCCCCCACTCTCCCTGAAGCACCCGCGAGACTACATACCAAGAAAACATTCATCTTAGGTGCTTAGGCGTTTGCTCGGGGGACGGCCGTCTAAAGGTGAGCATAAAGTCACATATCACTTTAAAACTATAAATTATACGCACTTCTTTGTAGGGTAATGTGGACGCGGTCAGAACCTTTGGACTCCTGACCCGCAACCCGAAATCCTCAGAAACCGAAGACTTGGACGTGACCCAATTTCAAATCTGCGAAGCCCTGTAGCTCACGCGGCCTTGAAGTCTCTCACATAGGTCCACGTCGTCAGTGTAACATAAGACAGGAAAGAGAAGAGGATCACAAGCCAAACCTTGTACTGGGGCTTGCCGGTTCGGAGGTTACATGTCCATAGATGTCAAGGGCGAGTCTAGGGAAACGTGAGGGTATATCAGGCCAATATAGGGAATAATGGAGAAGGAAGCGGAAAAAACAATGGAAACTAGGGTCACAGTTTACGGACCCTGCAGAACACACCGTTTGAAGAATAAGTCCTCTCTGTTTGTGAGCTTAGTAAGAACAGGCGGAAGGTTTTTGTTTTTCATGTTTTTCCCTAGATGTGTCTCGTGTTTTCCTGGGTGTGGCTCATCTATTTTTTGGGGGACACGCTGATCCTTGTGACTGTGGTAAAGTTTGACATGCAAACAAGATGTGAGAGCTCAAAAACGGTGACAGGCGACCCTGATCCGCCTGATCCCTGTGACGGTTCCGGAGCTCGAAATGCCGGCGTTCTACCGTGTCGGGAGCGTTTCAGGAAGTGCACATGTCAATAACTCCAAACAGAAGCTGGGCTTCAAAAAGCAGCGGGGTAGGAGAAAAGCACTTTTTCTTTTCGCACTTAATAAGGGCGGGAAACGGTATGAACATGCAGAAAGTATAGGCCACTTAAAATTCAGTTTTAATTGGGATCAAATTTGCCAGGCTGTTGCTTGCTGCAAAAACACACAGAGGCTGCAAATACGAGGTTTGTAGCTTCATAAAAATAACAAGACTCCCGAGCAGTGTGCTGCCAGTACAGAATGGCAGGGGATTGGGGGGTGGCGCAGCCCGCCCTTTGCCAACCATGGAGGAAGATCAGAACATGCATTTTCTTGTACAAAGATGATAAGATGTCGCAAGTTGGACAAATATGGGAACACAAAGTTTCTTGCACACCCAGATTTCTTAAACAGCGCCATGGCATTACAAACAAGTGGGGGGCAGCCCCCTCGCATTTGCAAAGCATGGACAAAGATCAGAACACGTCCCTTCTTGCACCCTTTGATAGGTTGCGTTTTGCAGTATGCTAGCCTTGCGGAATAGGAGAAGGGTTTGTGGGTGCCTATAAACCCTAAACCCCATTTGCAAAACATTGACAAAGATCAGAACACACTAGCTTCTTGCAAGCGTTGACAGGTTGTTTTTTTTTGCAACGTGTCTGCATTGCGAAATAGCGGGGGGTTGGGAAGGGAGGGGGCGCAGCCCCCCTTATCTGCAAAACATCGACGAAGATCAGAACACACTGGCCTCTTGCAACCATTGATACCTTTTTTTTTTTTGCATCGTGCTTACATTACGAAAGAGCGGGGGGGCTTGGGTGCGGGCACAGCCCCCCCCCACCTGCAAAACATCCACGAAGACCTCAGCTTCTTTGCACTCGTTGATAGGTTGGATTTTGCATCACGCGTGCATTATGAATCAGCTATACGGGTAACGTGGAAGGTCTAGGCCTGGGTGCCTCCTACACCTTAAATAAGAAGCCCGGATCCTAAACTTTTTCAACCAAGGGTCCTGCTTCCACCCATAAACAGTCTATAATAGGCGTCATACTACGGGCTCTAGATAGTTGTGTCTTGAAAATTATCCGGCTGTTAATGCTTGGGGGCAGCACCCAACTTTCAACTAGTTAAATCCCAAACCATCTGCAAGCATGACGCTGCAGTCGCGCATGTCGCATCATTCTTGTTTTGGAAAGAGGACCATTTGGGCGGCAGCATATCAGCGCATGGTGGGCATGTACGGACAGCACTAATTTGCTGAAGGGCTTGAGATTTAGAACTGCAAGAGCAGACAGGAGAACTAAGTTCCTGGATTTAAGCTTCAAAAGACCATGTTGGGTTTAGGGATGAGAGTTTGGGGGCAACACTCCCTGCAAGGAGGGTCGCCCACAGAACTCTCAAAGTGTCACAAGGACCAGGGCAGGTGACCCATCTTATAAATAATGTAGAAGCCCGAAAATTTGCCAAGATCATAGTCCTAAACCCCTTGTAGAATGATATACATTAGGAGGACCCCCCACCCTGTAATAGCGGCAAAATTAGAATATAAGAGGACCCTAATATAAGCCCTATTATCCCTTAAAGTCACTATTACTGGGTGGGGGGTCCACCTAAGATATACAAGGTGCCTTGACTGTACCTCGCCTCAAGCTAATAACCCTAAACCCTAAACCCCAAACCCCAAACCCTAAACCCTAAGCCCCTCTGGTAGTTGCTACGGCCCGTGAGGCTCCAAGGACTTGGCGATGGCCGCTGGCGGGAATGGGTTTAGGGTTTAGGGGGCCTCTGACAGATCCCCCGTCCGCCATACTTGATATAGGCCCCCCCAAAAGGGGTTACATGGGCTTCGTAGGGCCATATAGGCTTGAGTATGTAGAGGTCTTTATGAGCTGGAATGAGGTTGGGTGTTGCAAACGTATACTACATCACAAGGCCCGCACTACTAGCAGAGGACCTCGTTATCTCGGATAGAAAGATCCCAGAAGTCCAAACCAGCTACTACTTTTGGTACTGAAAACGCTGCCTGACCTGAATAACACAGTAAATTCCCAAGGTCGCTCCCAAGGTATACGGCACTTAGGGTCATTCAAAACTTTTAGCCTTAAGCCTATCTTTAAACTTTCAGGCCAAAGTTAAGCTCATCATGACTATAATGTAGACCCATGATTAATAAACCCCTTCCTTTTAAGGCCTAAATATTAGAATCCCTATTACAATCCCCATTAAGGCGAGGGGGTTTATTAATCACGGGTCTGGGTTAGACAGTTTGGTGTGTCCAGTTCCAAGCTCCAAGAACCCTAAACCCTAAACGCTCAGCCCCTACACCGGTAAACCCTCAGCCGTGGGATTATCGTAGCTATATTAAGGCCCTATTAACTCCATATTATGGAGCTACTGCTTTAGGGAGGATTGACCTAACCTAAACACTTGGTAGTTTCCCTAAATTACTGTTCCCAAAATGGGGGAAACTTATATAGGGCCCCGTATTATAATGGGAACCCAAATATAGGACCCCGTATTATAGGGAATTTAGACCAATACCCACCTAACCCTTGACCATAGACC